CTCGCTTTACTTCTGTGGGGTCACATACTGGTATCCTCATCTGTAAAATACAGTTACAAGGATACAAGACTCTCTACCTAGAGGTGTTCAGTGAGCATGGAATGAGATGAAGTAAATAAAAGCACTTCGTATGCCTTGTTGTTGTTGTTGTTATGATTAAGCACAAAGGATGACTTGTGGGAATCATCCAACAACAGTAAAATCCTTCATCTTAGTTATGGCTTTGAAAAACAGACTGTGATGATGTTAACTGTATAATTCTTTTTTAGTCAGGGCATTCCAAATACTTAATTAAAAATTTATTTTGGTGCAATCTAAACCAATTCTCTCTCACAGTCTACTCCGCTTACTCTCAATTTCCTGTCTCAAAGTTCAGGGGAGAAGAGCGAGCATTTCCTGGAATTACAGGGTATTAGTCACTACTCTAGGAGCTCTGGTAGCATAGTGGCTAAGGTACTTGACTGCTAACCAGAAGGCTGACGGTTCAAACCCACCAGCCACTCCTCGGAAGGAAGGTGGAGCAATCTACTTCCATAGTGATACTGCCTCAGAAACCCAAGGAGGGGTCGCTATGAGTCGGGTCCGACTCGATGGCACATAACAACAACAACAACAACAGTCACTACTCTATAGGAGTCCTAGTGGCAAAGCAGTTAAGCAGCTGTTAACCAAAAGGTTGGTGGTTTGAACCCACCGGCCAGTCCAGGGGAGAAAGATGTGGCAGTCTGCCTTCATGAAGATTGCAGCCTTGGAAACTCTATGGGGCAGTTCTACTCTGTCGTAAGCACTTTGATTTGTAATCAACTTGTCGGCAATGGGTAGTCATTACTCTGGGAGGCAGTGGTGGCTCAGAGTTGGAATTCTTGTCTTCCATGCAGGAGACCTGGGTTTGATTCCTGGCCAGGTCCTCTCATGTGCAGCAACCACCCATCTGTCAGTGGAGACTCACGTGTTGCTATGATGGTGAACAGGTTTTACCAGAGCTTCTAGACTAAGTCTAGGAAGAAAGGTCTCGGGATCTCCTTCTGAAAATCAGCCCGTGAACTCTCTACGGATCATAATTGTCAAACCCACCACAGACCACAGGGGTGATATGTACATGGAGTCATCATGAGTCAGGGCCACTTACATGGCGCTAAAAATAAGTCACCACTCTCAGAGATCAATTCTTGGAGAAAGGGGTATATAATGATCTGTTCTATCTATGCCAAATAGGTAGGTATATCAAAAGGAGATAATATGTGTAATGAAAGTGTTGATAGTACAAGCACGTAAAGGATTATTATTGCTATTTCAATGTCCACTAGGGTGGGTTCTGGGTTAATGCCTTCCTGTGGCATTAACCAGTGCTGGTCTTCACTGGCCTCAGCCTTGAGGAAGGTGAAGGTTTCCAGCAAAGGGTGTGTGTTAAGTGTGTGTGTGTGTGTGCATGCACACCCATACAAGGCAATTCATTAGAGTAAAAGAAAATATGCTCATTATTCCCAGATTCCTTGAGGCACCTCCTCCCACCATCTGCTAAAAACACTCTCTTGCTTTTGTAGGCATTTGCAGGCATACGCATATGCAAAGTAGCAAGAAAGTTACAGCTGATGTGGAACAAAGCAGATTTGGTGTTTGCAAATACAGTATTTGCAGGGACATTATAGACCATGACTACCAAACAATGAAGATTAATATTTATATTTTTCAATCTAAAAATAAAAACAAGATGGAGTTTTTCTAATATTTAATACACAGACTGGCCCTGACTCCCTCACTCAGTCCATGTAGCAGAAGGTCATGTGTAACAAATGGTACATCCTCACTTGCTTTTTACATTTAGCATATTGTGAGTGTTATGGATTGAATCGTGTCCCCCCATAATGGGGGATGTAAATCCTAACCCTGGTCCCGGTGGTTATAATCCTATTTGGGAATGGGTTTTCTTTGTTAAGATAACCCAAAACCAAACCAAACTCACTGCCATCGAGTCAATTCTGATTCATAGCAATCCCCACTGGGTTTCCAAGGCTTTATGGAAGTAGACTGCCCCATCTTCCTTCTGCAGAGCAGCTGGTGGGTTTGAACCACTGATCTTCTGGTTAGCAGCCAAATGCCTTATCCACTATGCCACTAGAGCTCCTTAAGTAGGCAGTATTAATGTAGGGTGTGTTTTAAGTCAATCTTTTTTGAGATATACAAGCAGGTTATGCAAACGCAGACAGAAGGGAGGACAGCTGTCACACCACATGAAGATCCCCAAGGAACCAAGGAACAGAAGCTGAAGAGACAAAGACCCTCTCCCAGAGCCGACAGAGAGAGAAAGCCTTCTGCTAGAGCCGGCACCCTAAATTCAGACTTCTAGCCTCCTAGATGGTGAGAGACTAAACTTCTGTTTGTTAAAGCCATCCACTTGTGGTTGTGAGACCATGTTTCTACATAACCACCCTGTATGTAACCATTTTTAAGTATGTAGCCATTTTGCAAATGCCTTAGCATTTACTTCAAGCTTTAGTGCTTTAGTTACTAGAAAAACCACTAGGAGTCCTGACTACCCCCACCTCATCAATATTCCCTAGCAACCAACTGGAAAAACCACAAGGAGTCCTGACTACCCCCACCTCATTGATACTCCCTAGCATACTCCCTAGCAACAACCAATCAGTAAATAGCAAGAAAATACCTTACCTAAAATAGTTAGAAATGGCAGTTTGCGGCTTCGGCCCCCAAGACAGAGCCAATCAAGTAGGAACAACTAGCAACTTGAAAAATGTCAACCAATCCTGTAATTTTCTGATTGAAACTTCCTCATTTCTGCTGTAACCCCAATAAAAACCCTGTTACCCGAGTTCGGGGCTCTCAATCCTGAACCGCTGCGTCGGTGACGGTTGGGGGTCCGAGCTCGAGCTTGAATAAACAACCCCTATGCTTTTGCAGTGGAATCAGCTCTTTGGTGGTTTTTGGGGATTCAAGATCTGGGCGCAACATGGTGTTTCTGTTATAGCAGCATTAGAGAACTAAGACAGTGAGTTTGTGGAAATTCCTGCAAACAAACTGTGGATGTAATACACTTCTAATGAAAAAGTGGCAGAATTGACACTTGTCTTAGGCCTAGTGCAAGTTCTTTGCCTGCCACTTTAGAAAGAAATCAGCTGGACAAGAAGTTAGACAAAGCAATCAAAATTAGCACAATAATTTGTGATGTGGATTTTCTACTCACTGTTGTTACCAATGAACTTCATCCTCTGTGTCTATGCTGCTCCAGGGGGCATTAGCTAATGATGGCACTGAAGGTGTACAACGAACAAATAAATTGGAGGTTCATGCCTAACAGTTTTCTTCTGATGGAGTGTTCAGTCAGGCAAAATTGGTTAGCCCTGGCCTAAAGCAGTCAGAGAGCAAAACCCCAGTGAAGGATCTTTGGCAGTAATAGTACCCCCTTGGTGGGTTGTCCTTGCTGTCTCAGGCTTCCTTTCTACTAAGTAAAGAACAACTCAGTTACCAGACCTTGAAAGCCCAGAATCTGGACACTGGAAAAGAGAAAAGGGGTGGCAAATAGTTTGCGTTAGAAAATAAGAAATAAAGGGCTCTCCTAACAGAAAGCAGACCAGAAGGGTTACTTCTGTGAGGAGAAGATAAAGGGAAGTAATAGACGTAGAGAGTGGGGCTTTAAGAACACCACGGAAGCCAAGGACACAACAGCTAATGTCAAAACTAAAGATGGGCCTTTCATCCGGCAGGACAGACAGAAAACCTTGGGGAGAAATGGTCTGAAAACTGTTGATCAACTAATCCATCCAGAAAACAAAGCAAGGCAGGGGAACATTTAAAAAGGACAACTGCATCTTCTATAAGATGAGTAACCAAACCAACGCTCCTCAGGAAACAAACAGCACTTTACTTGGCGAAAATCACTGCAAGCCCAAACAATTAAACAAAAGCGAACATGATCTCTCCCTATAATCACCTCAGAGAATTTCTTAGAGAAACATGAGGAATTTCTTGGGCTAAGGAGCTCTGGTGGCACAGTGGTTAAGGCATTTGGCTGCTAACTAAAAGGTCAGCAGTTCAAACCCACAAGCTGCTCCACAGGAAAAAGATGAGACAGTCTGCTTCTGTAAAGATTTACAGCCTTGGAAACCCTATGGAGGTCACTATCAGTTGGAATTGACTTGATGTCAGTGGGCTTTTTTTTTGTTTTTTTTTTCCTGGTCCTGGGCTATTAACCATTCTTGACCATCCTGCTCTATGTAAAATGGAAAAGAAAAAGTATTAGATGAAGACTCTCAGGGGTTACAAAGTGATCCTCAGTCACCCAAAGCATTTCTTATGAAGAAACAGCAGGGCCAACCAAAGGTGACAGTCACACAGACATCTCTTTATGGGAGGGCTGTGGAGTGGCAAGCAGGCGGGATGGGAATGGGAGTAGGAGACCTGATACTGCATCTGCAGAGCATTTTACATAAAATTGAGACCACATCAATTTTCCATAAGAGACCCTTAGGGACGGAAGACCCAATGGAGATGTCTAAGGCCCTTTAATCTCCTGTCTTGGTGCTACTACTGTCTAAAGATAGAACCCAGAACTGTCCATTGGTCTAGGAAACCCCAATCTTTATCTCCACTGCATGTCCCCCTTGTAATGATTAACAAAATATATATTAATTAGGACTATATCTCAATTTCTATTGCAAGCCGAACACTTCCTGGTACAGGAAGTCGGCACTTTTAACTTACTACTTGTGTAAGTCAGTCAGTCATTAACAGGTGTGAACTGCATACTCACAGCAGTCAGTCAGTAATTCCAAAGTTCTAAAGAACGAATAGAAAAGCAAAGGGCCTCACTCTGGCTCACAAACGAGGATCCTTTGGGAATAGCAAATTGGCCTCTAATGAAGGAAGGAGATCCCAACACCAGCTCCACTGGCTACTTCAGGCTTTGGGCAGTTTTGGCTTTAGAAGTGACTTAGCCAATGAGCTGGACAGATGGCACAGTTTCCTGGCTCACTACTACTTACCTTTCCTCCCACCTTCACGTGTTTGGGAAGGCTTCTCTTGGCAAGCAGCAGGCAGAGCCGGGGAAGAGGGTTTCCTCTCTGGCAGCTCTTCCTCCTCCTCCTTCTTCTGTCCCTTCCTTTCCTCGGGGGGTGGTGGTGAGGGTGGCCAGGTGTCACTGCTCTCCTGGCTCTCTTTGGCCCTCTCGCTGGGTTCGGTGTCGGGCTTGGCCGCTCGGCGGGCCAGCAACTCGACTAAGTAGGGCCTACTTAGTTTGGACAGTGGGGATGACGGTGGGGTCTGGCTGGTGGGCTTAGGAGCCAGAGCTGGTTTCTGCACCAATGACATTTTATTTGCTACCTTATCATGATCTGCAGCTGGGGTCTGGCTGTTGAGTGGTGGGGGCCCGGGCTGAGACACAGGAGGTGAGTGGCTGGAAGGGGTTTCTGTGGAGTCCTTTCTGGTGGTTGAGGACGGCTTCCTCCCTTGGGTGAGGGGTGAGCCATGCTTGAGGGCCACATCCCCTGTCTCTTTCTCTCCACCTGTGCTCTCCAGAGCAGAAGGGCCCCCCTCAGCACTGTCCCCTGTGCTGCTGTGCCTTTTCTTCTTCTTTTGTTCCGTCTGTTGGTCACAGTGGAAGCGTAAGGAGTAGTTGGTCCTCCTCAATTTTATTCCAAAAGGTGAGGCTTTTTCCTCCCCACCCGCCATCATGTGGTCTGGCTTCCTGTTACCACTTGTAGTCTCACTTTCTGAAGTACTCACGGACTCTGTGTGGGTCACCATCTTCTGTGGAGGAGAAGGAAGGCTCGGAACAAGGAAGGATGGAAGATCTTTGGCAAATTTGCATCCCTCGGTGGTGTCTGTTGGCTCCTGATGCACCCCCAGTTTCTCTGGACTCTTCTGGTGCTCATGAGGACCAGTGGCTGGAGGCAGGGGCTCTGACTCTTCACTGGGTTCTGACACTGGTCTTTTTTGAATACTTTCTGCTTCTGTGCTGTGTTTGGAGATCTCCATGCCACCATCAGAGAATTTCTGCCAGGCAGGCATAATAGAGAACTTTGCATTGAGCGGTGGGGTCTTCCGGAGGTTTCCACGAGAATCACATCGGCCCCTGGGAGTCAACTCATCACCTGACCTCTGGTCTCTCTCAGCACGCTGGTCACTGTCCGCAGTCTTCAGGATTCTGGACCGAATGGAAGCCCATTCAGCTAGTGCTGCCCCACTGCTCAAAGACTTCTGTGGAGGCTTGGCCTTCCCACTGCTTGTCTGGGAGTCACTGGGGGCTCGGGGTGGGTTCTCCACGGTGGGGAGGTCCATGTGCTTCTTTTCTTCAGACAAGCCCAAGAGAGACTTGCACGCTGTGTCCTTGATCTGGTTCAGGTTGACGGCTGGGCCGCAGAGCTGAGCTCCCGTGACCAGAATGGCTGTGTGGGGAATGCTCAGGGTTGAGGGCAGAGTGTGAGAGGCTGGGCTGGCTTTGTGGGCCTTTGGTTCAAGGGGAGCAGACACAAGCCCCGTGTCCTTCCCAGGAGTCACTGGGGTCAGGTTGACTTTGGGGAAGAGGATTTGCTTCCCTCCTGAGGACACCTGGAATGTGTAGGGCCTGGGCATGGTCTGCCTCTCATCCACTTCCTGCCACCTGAGTTCCTCCACCTTCCGATCTGCTTCTGGAGTGACTGCTTCTTTCTTCTCCACTGGAGTCAGTATTTCTTGCTTTGGCCCCTCTTTCTTCTGGGGAGGTTCTGATTTAGGTTCTTCTCTCTTTTCCAGAAGTAAGCGATGGTCATCCCCATGAACATATCCCCTCTTTCCCTGCTGCTCTCTTGACGGCTTGGCCTCAAACCTTTGCTTCTCATCAATACGCGGCTCCTCAGAGCTTTCTCTTTGCTTTTTGGCTTTCACGTTTTCTTGTTCTCCTGGCTTCTCTTCAAAGTCATTCTGAAGTGGGCTCCACAAGCCCCGTTTTTTCTCTCTCTCCAGTCTCCTCTCTTCATCCCGTCTCTGCAGGGCTTCCTGGTGCTTCTTTTCGGCTTCCTGTCTCCTCTGCAGCTCCATTTCCTCCTGCTTTTTGAGCTCCTCCTGTCTCCTCACCTCCTCCTCCTGAACAAGCTTGGCCACCTCCGCCTGCCTCCTCTGTTCCTCCAGTTCCTCCTCCCTTTTGAGCTCCTTCATCCGCTTTTCTTCTCTCTCCCGCAGTCTTTGCTCCTCCTCCTCCTGCCTCCTCTGTTCCTCCAGTTCCTCCTCCCTTTTGAGCTCCTTCATCCGCTTTTCTTCTCTCTCCCGCAGTCTTTGCTCCTCCTCCTCCTGCCTCCTCTGTTCCTCCTGGTGTCTGAGCTCCTCCTGCCTCCTTTCCTCTTCCTCCCGCCTCCTTTCCTCTTCTTCCCGCCTTCTCTGCACTTCCAGTTCCTCCAACCTTCGACGCTCCATCATCAATTTGTCTTCTTCCACCTGCCGTCTCTGCTCTTCTTCCTCCTGCCTTCTCTGTGCCTCCAGTTCCTCCAGCCTTCTAAGCTCCCCCAGCCTCCTTTCTTCTTTTTCTCGCCACTGCCTCTCAGCTTCCCACTGTGTCTGCATCTCCACTTCCTCCTGCTGCCTGCGCTTCTCCTCCAGCCGCCTAGCCTCTTCCCTGAGGTGCTGCTGCTCTTCAGTTTCCAGAAGTTGTTTTTCCTCTTTCTTCCTCCCCTCTGGGTCAGGGCCACCTAGCTCTTCCCACCTCCACCTCTCCTCTTCCTGCTGCCCCGTCTCTACCTCTACGTCTAGCAGAGGTTCTTGCTTCTTCCCTTCTTCCTCCTCTCCTTCCTCCTCCAAGAGCTGCTGCCTTCGGTTCTCTTCCCACAACCGCCTCTCCAGGGCCTGCAGCCTCTGCTCTTCTAGGCGTCTCCTCTCTGCTGCCTCGGCCTTTTGCCGTTTGCACTTGGCCTCAAGTTCCTGCCAGTATTCTTCTTGGTGTCTTTTCTCTTCCTCGGAATCCAGTGGCTCTGGTTCCTCTCCATGACAAATCTGCTTGTCTTCTCTGGGGTGTCCATTCTGGTTCAGGGATGGCTGTCCCTCCAGGTCACCTTGCTCATTTTGTCGATCCTAACATTGGTAAAGGAAACACAATTAGCTCTTTCACTTCTTCCATAGGCAACCATTACTGATGCTATTCACAATGTAGGTGGCCCTCTTAATCTCAGGTGCTTGTAAGTACATATATTGATAACTTTTGGTATAGGTCATATCATAAGTTGTAGGAATGAAGGAAAGAACTTTATGTTTTACTCATTAGGCCCTCTATTTAAAGGATCCCTGGTAGTGCAATGGTTAAGCACTCAGCTGCTACCCAAAAGGTTGGCAGTTTGAACTTACCCAGTGACTCCATGGGAGAAAAGACCTGACTATCTGCTCCTACAAAAATCACAGCCTAGAAACCCTATGGGTCAGTTCTAGTCTGTCACATGGGGTCGCTATCAGTTGGAATTGACTTGACAGCATCTAACAACAATAACAACCTTTTATTTATCATCTCCAAATTCCTTCATCTTACTATGAGTGAATAATCATAGAAAACCAATACTAGTTCCAGTATCAGCTGCTGTCAGTTGACTCTGACTCATGACAACCTCATGTGTGTCAGAGTAGAACTGTGCTCCAAAGGGTTTTCAATGGCTGATTTTTGGGGAGCAGATAACGAGGTCTTTCTTCAGAGGCTTCTCTGGGTGAACTTGAACCTCCAACCACTTGGCTAGTAGCTGAGCATGTTCGAGGTTTGCACCACTCAGGAAAACCAATAGCCCAACATTAAGAAGATGAGAGAAACTGAGATCTTGACTTCATCAATGTCCCCTGAAACTTGTGACTGAGAAGTCCACCCTAATCTAATTAAAGGACATTTTGCTAAGCCAGGACAGAGAAAAAGTGGGCCACCTTTCCGCTGCAAAGCAGACTCAGAGTGTCTGGAGCCCCTCAAAGAGAAGCCTCTTCTGCTGTGGCCCACCCACCTACCACAGGGCAACACATCAGAAAAGGCACTGGAAAGTCAGTGTCCTGCCTACTGTTGTACACTGCCACACACAAGTTCCCAACAAGGAGAGACCTAGTTCCTTCCATGGGTCCACCATGAAACCATCCCTGCCGGGGCAGAAGTAGCCCAGGAGCAAGGACTTCTGCCTGGTCAGCGAGGGCAGGGCTGTACGTACCGGGGCCAGTCTCCTGTGCTTCTTTGATACCCTCTGCTTTTTTGGCTTAACAGACAGTTTGTGCTTGGCAGCACTGTTGTCCAGGCGAGCAATGGCCAGAGGGATGGCATCTAGGTTGACACTTTCAATGGTTCCAGCAGAAGAGAAATGCCTTTTTGGCCGAGATGGTTTAACTGGAGCAACCTAGAGTGGAGGTTGAAAGATAAAGTCAGCCAGGATCAGAGAGCAACCCCTGCAGGGGACCCCAGAATGACAGCACTTGTTTGCATCTGTGCAATGTCCTGTACGGTCCAGGCAATGCTGGGGAGCAGAGGAGGCTCATGTGGCACAGTGAAATAAGCTCTGGTCTTAGAATGAGAGGACCTGACTTTGAATAGTTCTGCCAATGACGACCTGCAGTACCTTGTAAAGGTCATTTAACCTTTCAGGTCTAAGTCTCCTACTCCGAATATTATGGGGTTAGACTGGATCATTGTTGTGTTGTGGTTAGCTGCTTTAGAACCCATGTACAATAGAACAAAATGCTGCCCGGTCCTGCGCCATCCCATGATGGGCTGCCAGTCAAACCACTGTGATCCATAGGGTTTTCATTAGCTGATTTAAGGAAAGGGATTGCCAGACCTTTCTTCCTAGTCTGTCTCAGTCTGGAAGCTCCACTGAAACCTATTCAGCATCACAGCAACATGCAAGCCTCCACTGGCAAACAGGTGTGGGGCTGCTGCACAGGAGGCACATTGGCTGGGAATCGAACCTGGTCCCCTGACAGAAGGTGAGAATTCTACCACTGAACCACCACTGCCCCTTCAACTAGATTGGGGGCACATCTTGCTCTTGGTCTGGTTGGTAAATCAAGTTTTATTGGCACATGCATTGTCCTTGGCAGCCTTTTTTGCTACAACTGCAAAGTTGAGTAGGTGTGTATTTGTGATGTCATGGCCCTGCAAAGCCTAAAATATTTAGTGGTTTGCTGAGCCTGGACTAGATCATCTCTATGCTACGAACTCTAGCACTGTAAGAGCTGTTCCCACTACCTTGGACACCATGTGTGCATGCCTCATCTCCTACATAGAACTTCAATCCCTTTAAAGTAGGGAATTTGTTTTTACATTTCTGTATCCGCCTCCTTTATGCCCTAGTAGCACATCTCATTTGGTAAGTGTGCAATAAATACTTATTGAAAGAATGAAAGGGCAACCAAGTGTAACATGTATGACTAGAACATGAAATTTTTAATAAGCAAAAATGTTTCAACGTAACCACTCCAAAGTCACAGAGCACTGAGTGCACCAGGAAGCTACATGAAAGGGGACCCTGGTGAATAAATGAAGGACAAAGCTATTTCACGTGGGTGAGGGCAATTCTTCAAAGGATGAATTGCAAGAGAGCCTGCAGTTCTGTAATACAGATGCAGTCACAAGAAACCTGCAGCCTCAGGCCTTGTGTTGTACAGATTTAGAGTCAGGGACACCATGGCTCAGCCTGAACCCAGAGACCACACTGAGTAAGATGGCAAAAGGCCTGTGACTACACAGAATTCACAGGTGAACAGTGAGGAAAGAGCTCCTGGCCACGCAATACCAATGTGCAGCAGGGGGCACTCAGAGCCCTGTTTGCCGATGCCAGCAGCTCTGCAGGACTTAGGGGCAGCCTTAGCACAGGGCAGGGCTCATTTGTTTGCCTGATTCGATAAGTGTAGAATCAATGGGGTTTAGCTGTAGGGCTTCCATTTTGCAATTATCTTCTAAATTTATGCACAAAAGATTAAAAACCAAGCTAGCTCCAGGAAAACGGGCGCTCAGTAAGTAGTAACTTATGACAAGCCCAGAAGTGCAGAAAAATAATTCCAGCCTTTGGACTTCTAGCTCTCATTTATTTATGGCTATCTTTACAACTGCTGTCAAATTCTGACCTATTGTTGAAAAGAGACACGTTAAACATTTATTTCCATCCCTTCGCAGCTGCATGGATTTTGTTGTTATTGTTGTTGTTGTCAGGTGCCATCCAGGCAGCTCCAGCTCATAGTGATACTATGTACAAAAGAATAAAATACTATCTGTGTCATCCTCACAATTGTTGTTATACTCCAGCCCATTGTTGCAGCCCCTGTTTCAATCCATCTCCTTGATCCTCTACCAAATACGATGACCAAAGTATGACAGATGAAATCTTGCCATCTTTGTGTCTAAGGAGCATTCTGGTTATACTTCTTCCAAGACAAATTTGTTCACTCTTCTGGCAGTCCATGGTATATTCAGTATTTTTTGCCAGTACCATAATTCAAAGGCATCAATTCTCTTCAGTCTTCCTTATTCATTGTCCACCTTTTGCATGCATATGAGGCAATTGAAAATACCATGGCTTGGGCCAGGCTTACCCTAGTTTCCAAAGTGACATCTTTACTTTTTAACTGGATGAATAAAAGGAGTTATAGCCAAATGTACTAGAATGAAAACACAGGTAAGCACTTGAAACAGATTTAAATGCTATGTTTCATTTCCAAGTCACTCCATTTGGGTCTCTCTATTGTTAGGAGCTCTGGTAGCATAGTGCCTAAGGCACTTGACTGCTAACCAGAAGTCTAGAGGTTCAAACCCACCAGCCACTCCTTGGAAGGAAGGTTGGGCAATCTGCTTCCGTAGTGATACTGTCTCGGCAACCCAAGGAGAGGTCGCTATGAGTCGGGTCTGACTCGACGGCACATAACAACAACAACATTGTTGGTGCTCTGGTGGTGCAGTGGTTAAGATATTTGGCTTCTAACCCAAGGGTCAGTGGTATAAATCCACCAGGTGCTCCAAAGAAGATGAGGTGATCTGCTTCTGTAAAGATTTATAGCCTTGGAAGCCCTCGTAGCAATGTGGGTTGCTATGAGTCCGAATCAACTCAATGGCAGTGAGTTTTTTCTTTTAAATTGTTGGAGCAGTGGTACTGTCTTGAGCCACAGCTTCAGAAGACTCAGGGGGCAGATCCTGCTCCCTGTATCATCAACTCGGTGTCGGGAGGACACCTGGAAGCCTGCATGGAAGAAAAGTTCTCACAGGAGTAGACCAACTTCTACAGAGAAGGTGCATGAAAGGCTCCAGAGTTCCCCAGACTCCTGCAGAGAAAGTCCTGGTTTAAAAGGGCTGCAGATTTCTTTTTCCCCAAAAAAAGATAAATGTAAAAGATACTAAGGTTTTTTTTTTGTTGTTGTTGTTGTTTGGGTATCTCTAAATAGAAGGAGACGCTTTTCATTTTACTTGGATCCACAAGCAATGCCCATGGAAACAGCAGTCAAGAAATCACACATATTGCACTGGGCAAATCTGCTGCAAAAAGAAACAAAAACAAAACAACTCTTTAAAAGTGTTAAAAAGCAAAGATGCCATGTTGAGGACTAAGTTGCACCTGACCTCAGCCATGGTATTTCCAATTACCTCATATGCATGTGAAAATTGGAGAATGAATAAGGAACTGAAGAAGAATCGATGCCTTTGAATTATGGTGCTGGCAGAGAAAACTGAAAATACCATGGACTGCTAGATGAATGAACCAACCTGTCTTGGAAGAAGTACAGCCAGAATGCTCCTTAGAAGCAAGGATATGGAGACTTTGTCTCACATACTTTGGACATATTACCAGATTACCAGTCCCTGGATAAGAACAACATGCTTGGTAGAGTAGAGGGCAAGTGCAAAAGAGGAAAACACTGAAGGAGATGGCTTGATGTAGTGGCTGCAACAAGGGGCTCAAACACAGCAACAACTGTGAGGATGGTACAGGACCGGGCGCTATTTTCTTCTGTTGTCAATGGGGTGCTAGGAGTCAGAACCGGTTCCATGGCACCTAACAACAACAACAGGATGCCACGCATATGCAAGTTGAGAGTGTGGCTACTTCTCAAAAAAAAGTGGACTTTATTTCCAAGAGTGTCATGAATTGAATCATGTCCCCCCAAAATATGTATCAACTTGGCTGGGCCATAATTCTCAATGGTTTGGCAGTTATGGAATGATATAATGTGGCAATCATGTGATGATGTAATCATCCCCTATGACGTGATCAGCCCTGATCTAAGGTGATTAGAGTGGGATGCAACACCCTTAGTCGGGTCCCAGCCCTGATCCATGTAAGGAGAGCTCCCCTTGGGTGTGGCCTGCATGACCTCTTATCTTACAAGAGATAAAAGGAGAGAGGAATAAACAGAGGAGGGACCTACTACTGCCAATAAAGAGCTGGGAGTAGATATGTCCTTTGGACCCAGGGTTCTTGTGCTGAGAACCTCCCAGACCCAGGGAAAGATTGATGACAAGGACCTTCCCTCGGAGCCAATAAAGAAGCCTTCCCCTAAAGCTGGAGCTCTAAATTTGGACTTCTAGCCTCCTAAACTGGGAGAAAGTAAATTTCTGTTTGTTAAAGCCACCCACTTATGGTATTTCTGTTATAGCAACACCAGAAACTAAGATGAGCAGTTTCATTGAGACATCTACCTCTCCCCTATGGTTGTATTTTGAAGGAATGTAAGGTAATGCATAGATGCAATATTTATAAATAGAGAGTGAGGCGGTAGATTGTCAATAAAAGGAACAATAGAAGTTAAAGTAAGGAAGCTAAATAAATAGATTCAAATCATATTACCTTCTCTTCCATCTCACTTCCAGCTCCAGATAGATTCAAAGGACTGAGAGAACTTGGCGTTTCACTGGACTGGAATAGTAAGGAGAGCAATGAAGTCAAACATTGGAACAGGAAGGTCTGAGCAAATAATCAGATGCTGTGGGTGCCTGGACAGGGCCACCCTCCCACCTCTACACCAGGGTGCAGCCTGTTTCAGAGAGCCAGCAGGAGTCATGGTGGAGACTTTGCTAATGTCCAAACTCCATAAGGACTGCCTGAGACACAGAGTGCACTATCCTTTTTCCCAAGTGCAACATTTTCCTTACCTGGGCAGTCTCTAGCTTCAGTCCTTGAGTCTTTTTCTACTGAGAGAAGCCTGAGAGAATTTGAGGAGCTCCTCAATGGCCACCTTCTGGGAAAGAGGGCTGTGCTATACATATTGTCTCCAGCCTCAGAGCTCTTGGCTCTGCTGGCTGCCTTCACCTCTTCACCCACTGGACCTCTGATTTGCAACCAGTGGGTAAGAAAAAAAGAAAGCCTCACCAATGCCAAATGCAAAGGGTTGAGCTGAGAAGGTAAAAGACCAGGGAGGGGGTGAAAGCTTACAAGCAAAGCCCAGCACAAGGGTAGAGATTCACATTGCAGTCACTGTAGCATGCCCTCAGAACACCCACAGCATCTCTTTAATAATATAACTACTTCACCTCTTTAATGCCTGTACTTTCTATGAAGAAGCTCTGGTGGAAGAGTGGTTAAGGCATTTGGTTGCTAACCAAAAGGCTGGTGGTTCAAACCCACCAGCCCCTCCATGGGAGAAAGATGAGGCAGTCTGCTTTCATAAAGATTTATAGCCTTGGAGCAGTTCTACTCTGTCCATTAGGGTCGCTATGAGTTGGAATCGACTCAACGGCAGTAGTTTTTTTTGGTTATACTTTCTACAAAGAGCCCTGGTGGTGCAAATGGTTAAGCAGTAAGCTGCTAATTAAAAGGCTGGCAGTTTGAACTTACCCAGTGGGAAAAAAAAGCTAGCAATCTGTTTCTGTAAAGATTATAGCCAAGAAACCTCTACGGGGGCAGTTCTACTCTGCCACATGAGTTGAACTCGACTCAACAGCAGTGAACAACAACAATATACTTTCTATCTCGTATCACCAATATTCACCAAAGGGTCTTATCTTTCTTTCCAGAGCAAAAATGTTGGCTTGCCCTAGCTCAGTCCGCTCTCCATACCATGTGGAAGGGTCTCTATATAACATAGGACAGTGGTGGAATTTGACTTTTTTCCCAATCCAAGTGGCCTTCAAGCTGGCCTGTCTGATATGTTCTGTCTCACTGAGTGCCTACTTCTTTCTATTTTAATTTCCCTTTAAATTAGTTCAACTCAACAAACAACTACTCAGGGCTACTTAGTAGGCACTAAGGTGTGGGGGCACATAAATGTGTTAGATCTAATTTGTCCTCAAGGAACTCAAAGTTTAGAAATGGAGAAGAAACAGTTGCATGGACAGGCACGTGGATGGGGTGTAGAAGAAAAAACTAGTGCTGAGGACACGTGGTGAAGGCATGAAGAGATAATGCAGCTTGGGGAGTGGGGCCAGGGCCTGAGGGAAAGAGGAAGACACTGGGAAAAACACGTGCAAAGGCTCGTGTCTACTCTTCTCCTGTCTTGCCCCTCATCCCCATATTGGCCCAACTGAAGATCAGCCAGCTGTCAAAGAATCCTCTTTGGGAAGGAGCCCTCTGCCTAGGAAGTGCCCTCCCACCCTCGGCTACTCATTAGAAAATTTTCTCCCACCTTATTAACCCCACTGCAGACCCCAGGCCTACTGGAGGTCTTGTCTACTGTCCAATATCCTGGCTGGCTTATTAGAAATCAGATCATTCCTTGGAGGAGTCTTACTTTGTTCTCGGTGTCTGAGAGGACAATGTCCTGTTGAGTCACAATTTCCATGGGACTGGTCAGGAACAGATCCTCTTCTAAGCTAGCCTCTCCACTGTCTGCCTTCTTCATGGGAATGGCACTGAGTGGGGGCTGCCCAAACTTGATGTTCTTGCCCAATTGTTGCTGGAGAGAACAAAGGAAAGATACTCTGAAGCAATGAAGCGGTGCAGAACAACCACAACCAGGTTCCCTAGCTTATCTAGTAAGCACTGAAGTATAGCCTGTGCATAACTGATTGCTAGACTAAACATCATGCCTACAAACAACAATAACACAGTCCTGTAATAAGTTAATTTGTTTTCCACTTTCTTTTTCTGTTCATCTCTTTTGAGCCATGAGCTGTGTCACCCAGCTGTCTCTTTCATGCAAATGTCAACATTTTCCAGTGGGTAGAGACCATATTTCTAAACTAAATGTTGGGATATATGTTATAATTTTTTGTTTGTTTGTTTTACCTGTAAATATACTTATATAAAAAGCCTTTTAAAAGTACAGAAAAGTATACAGAAAACAGTTACATGAAACGTAGGACCCACTTGGGAAAATCAAGACCCTATGGGTGCTGCAACTTCTTCTGGACATATTGCCTTTGACTAGTCATGCCTTGACACCCTTCATGACCAGTCCCTAGCTTGAAAGTGCATTCCAGAGAGAGCTCTCATTCCTTTCTTAGGGCTTCATCTTTCTAGGGCCCAAGAAAATCATGCTCTGGTCCCAGTGGGAATCACTGCCAAGGTAAAGAAGGTCCTGGTAGCCAGCACCTCTTTCCATCAGCAATGCTGGAATCAGGTATGGGACAGGAAGGATTTTGTCCTGACATCTGGACTTCCTTTTGCTTTGCTACAGCTGCCCACTGTTAAACACGGGGCAGAGGAACTAAATGAGGAAGGGACAGAGCAGTAGGCAGGAGAAAAGGGCCAAGGAAGGATTCATTGCTGGTGGGGTGGTAGCTAAAAGAATAGGGCAAAGGGAGGAGAAAATTAGAGAGATAAATGCCACTTGGAATAAAAGAAAGGCCAGATTAGACAAGGAAAAATATTTCCTAAACAAAAATATATCAACACAATGGCTAAAGGAGGAGAATCACTCACTGCTGTTGAGTCGGATCTGACTCATAGTGACCCCTCCCTGGGTTTCCGCAGCTGGTACAGAAGGTGGCGGTTCAAACCCACCAGCCACTCCTCAGAAGGAAGGATGGGCAATCTACTTCCGTAGTGATACTGCCTCAGCAACCCAAGGAGGGGTCACTATGAGTCAGGGCCGACTCGATGGCACATAACAACAACAACAACAACAACATCACCACAGAAGTAGATCGCCCAACCTTCCTTCTGAGGAGTGGCTGGTGGGTTTGAACTGCCAGTCTTCTGGTTACCAGTCAAATGCCTTAGGCACTACGCCACCAGAGCTCCCAAAAGGAGGAGAAGGGGCAAACTATTTAATATAGATTGTGGTAGAGAAAATGAATGACGTTTAAGGAGAAAATAAGGGGCACTGTGGTTATTTGAGAGACGAGGAATTTGAATATATTCACACTCATACAAAGCACTGCTTTTATCTAGATCAGGACTTCTCAACCTCGGCACTAATGACATTTTGGATCAGGAGGGACCATTCCTTGGGGAAGAATATCATGCTTGGTAAAGAGGAAGTTCAGTCAAAAAGGGAAAAACCCCCAACAAGATGGCTTGACAAAGTGGCCGAAACAATGGGCTCAAGCATGACAATGATTGTGAGGATGGTGCAGGACTAGGCAGTGTGTCACTCTGTGGTACACACGGTTACTGAGTTGAAACTGACCTAACAATAGCAACAATTCTTTGTTGTGAGGGGCTGTCCTATGCATTGTAGGATGTTCAGCAGCATCCCTGGCCTCTACCTACTAATGCCAGTAACAAGCCCCCCTTCTCAGAGTCAGGACAATGACAAATGTCTCCAGACGTTGTCCAATATGCCCTGGGGATGGGGAGGGATCATCCCCAGTTGAGAACCACTGCTCCAGATCCAAGTGTTTAAGTTTCCTTTTATGTAGGAGCTCTGGTAGCCTAGTGCCTAAGGCACTTGACTGCTAACCAGAAGGTTGGAGGTTCAAACCCACCAGCCACTCCTTGGAAGGAAGGTTGGGCAATCTATTATCCATAGTGATACTGCCTCGGAAACCCAAGGAGGGGTCAAGGAGGAGTCACTAGGAGTGAAGGCATACAACCACAACAACAGTCCTTTATGTTAAAAAAGAAAAAAATCAATTCTCTAGTACTTGTCTTTAATCTGGCTAATAGTTAACTCCAAAGAGTTGCAAAGAGCCTTAGCAATCACCTAATCCAACCCCTTCACTTTGCAAAAAAACAAGAGAAAGAAAAAGCCAGAAGTCCAGTGAGGAGAGGTGACTGGGCCAAGTTTATGGAAATAAGTGACCTTTAAGGAACTTGAATTCAGCTCTTCTAAAGCAACATTCAGTGTTATTTTCATTGTCTTCCACTGGTTCTCATAAACTCAACATTGTACTTCCTTCTTAAACTAGTTGCTGTTGAGTTGATTCCAACTCACGGCAACTCCATAGGTTGCACAGCAGAACTGTGCTCCATAGGGTTTTCCTGGCGGTGACCTGTCAGAAGCAGAATGCCAGGCCTTTCTTCTGAGGTACCTGTGAATGGGTTTGAACCTCTAACCTTCAGCAGCTAAATGCTTAACTCTTTGCACCACCCAAGGACTCCACTCCTTCTTATGGGGCAGAAATAAAGAGATGAGGCAGTATTTTTAATACCTTACTCAGTTCCTGAGCAGAGAAATCCCTTGAGAGAAACGACCCCTCTCCCTTTAAACTCCATGGAGCCAAATCGACCCACCATCGCCCAACTCCCCCCAAGTTTTGCGTGGTAGACAGTGGAGCTACAGAGACATGAGGGAGATAAGCCTAGGATTCACTCCCATCAGCCCAGGCTGCACAGCATGCCAAGTCAGACGTGCGCGAGGGCTAGGGCTTGTTCCTGGGCCTGGCAGGTGTTCCAGCTGAGCAGGCTTCCTCCTGTACCACAGGGAAGGTACACACATCAAAGCCTGAGTTCAGCCAGGGGAGTACAGTCTGAGCAGCCTGATGGGAAGCGGGCAGAGGCTGAACAAGGGTGTCTTCTAAAAACAAGTCAGGCAGGAAGCAGCAGTTAGTATCTGCTCTACACACATCAGTAAGCAAGCACAGTTAGAACAGCAAATTAAGTTAGACAAGAGGACATGGAGGCACAGAGCCACAGGCTCGGCTCACTCTGCTGCCCTGAGATGACGCATCTGTGGGACTGAGATGAGACTCTGGCCAGAAGAGGTGGGGACGATTCCTGTGTCTCTGGTGCAAACCTTAGTAGGAGTTCCCAGCCCAGCCTTGGTCTGTTGTCCTTTCCCTAGGAGTGTTGGCCGAGAGCTGAAAGGACACTACTACATCCCTTAGACTGCAGATTATCTGTCATCAGGGTCTGCCATTTTCCAGTGCTCCAGAGTGACTGAGATGAGGGCATGTCTTCTATTTGCACATGGCAAGAATAATTCTTCAGTATACTTCCAAGGCAAAGTTGGCCAAACTCTCTAATGCCAGTTAAACATGATTTTTGCCGCCATCACAAAATAGAATGAATATGTTAATGTTTTACCTTGTTGGGACCCTTTTTAGAACTCTGATGTTGATCCACACTAATCTTAAGAGACAAAAGGGAATCTGACAAAATGGAATCATAGTCTAGAATGAGAAAACCTCCAAGGATGGGGTGACTGTCACAGTTGCCTAAAGAAGAGAGAAACTGGAAAAGGAAACAGATGGAATAAGAGAATGAAAAATGAGGTTCATGGAACAAAGATAGGAAATGAAGAGTAACGTTAAAAATTAAGTACAGAGTTAAAGAAAGGAAAATTAACAGAAGGGACAAGAGGAGAGAGGGGAAGAGATGGGGCTGGGAAAAGCTGCAGACTTGATTGTAGTTATAATCAGGTAGCAGGAAAGGGAGGGAGGGAGGGAGGGAGAAAGAGAGAGAGAGAGAGAGAGAAAGAGAGAGAGAGAGAGAGAGAGAGAGGAGAGAGAGAGAAGCATGGAGGGAGGGAGGGAATGAGAGTGTGTGTGTATATATAAAAAGTCAGTTTACTTCACATATGTTTATCCTGGCAAAAGAAACAATGCTGTTGTTGCCTTTTAGAATGAAAATGTATCTTGTTGTTATGTGCTGTGGAGTCAGACCTGACACATAGTGAACTCTTCTTGGGTTTCCGAGGCGGTATCACTTACAGAAGTAGATTGCCCAACTTTCCTTCCAAGGAGTGGCTGGTGGGTTTGAACTGCCAGCCTTCTGGTTAGCAGTCAAGTGCCTTAGGCACTATGCTACCAGAGCTCCCATGTGAGTCTTAGGGGCGCTGATTTCCCATCTCTCTACAGAAAAGAAATCCAGGCTAGAGGCTAGGGAGTTTAGGAGGAGGAACAGAGCTGGAGGAGGGGAGGACGCAGATCATGGAAGAAATGGCAGCCCAGGTTTAGGAAAGGGCTGCAGTTTACCTGCCCAGACAAAGGACGGTCCTCCCACACATGCCCTGCTGCTGTCTGGGATGAGAGAGAGGACAAGCCCAGAGCAGGACTTAGTCCAAGAAGGCCAAGGAGACTGACCCTCAGAAGCCAGAGGACAAGGCACTAGTGCCCACAGGTTCTCCCACTCCTGCAGTTTCTGTTCCAAATAGTTCCTTCAGTGGACAGGAAGTAGGTTGGGCTGTTAGGACATTTTGTGCAATTTACTGATAATTAAAAGGATACTGCTAAAGCCTGTCTGGCAATCTCAGGGACCTATGTGAATGGAATACTGGATAAATGTGGAATGGAAAGAATGTGGAATGGAAACAAATGGGGGTGGGGCAAGGGATGCCAGTTTTTCACTTGAATCCTGTCCACCATTCAGGCATTGTCATGGAAGGAACTGGGATAAAAGCAATCAGTGAAGACCAGTCTGTGAAAATGAGCTCAAGTTTTCAGAGAGATAAACCACCACTCCTGCACCTTTGTTTTTAATACCCATGGGCTGTTTCTTTACACACATTGCAATCACAGTCAGAAGGGAGAGTGGAGACTTGTACCTACTGAGATGTGGCTTGAGGCTATGAATGGAGTTACTGTTGAGATTGGAATGTGAGCAAAAAGGAACCATATCTTATTCATTCAAATTGGGCCATTTTGTTGTAATATGGAATGCCAGAGAATGATGTTATAGGAATGCACATCCATATTTATGAGGACTTTGCTTATGGTGTGGAAATTCCAAGCACATCACATCCTGCAGCTCTCACACTGCCAGGGTTTAGTTTCTCCTAGATTTTTAAGAGCCATTCTTCAGATCATGTCTGTAAGACCATATGAGCACAAGAAAAATAAAGTTGCTGTATTTCTGAGCAAACTATAGATACTCTCATAGGTAAAATGAGTTTAACAAGAAGAAAAAGCACCAGCATACTGATCTAAACATATCTGCACTATGAAGATGTTGCTAAGAGCAGATGTTTTATTCTTTGTGTCCTTTACAGCTACACTAGGTGTCAAAATCCTCAAATGTAGGCCTTTGACATTTTTAAGTAAAATGCAGCTGAGGATGGAGTTTTTTTCTCCTAACACAAACAGATTAAGCATCCCTAACAAAGGCATGGCATAATTCTAAAAATTACCTGAAGGCTTAACCCTGACAATAATCGGGAGTTTTATCATTGGTTGGTACACACCTCTCAGCCTCAAATGTGATCTCAAATCAACAGGCCCTCTGCCTGATCTGTAATTCTGGGCAGCTGTAAGTCATAAGGTCATTCTAGTGCAAATATAACAAAATGCAAAGTATATATACACTTTGCTGTTGAGTGCTATCGAGTCAATTCCAACATATAGCAATGTGACAGAGTATAACTGACACATAGGGTCTTCATGGCTGTAATCTTTATGGGACCAGATCTCCAGGTCTTGTTCCCATGGAGCCACTGGGTGTGTCTGAACCACCAACCTTTCAGTGAGTAGCCTAGCGCTATTGTTGACCACTGTGTCACCAGGGCTCCTACTCTGCATTACAGCAGGTGAGAGCCCTTCAGATTATCATAAGCTTCTCTTTTAATTTTTCAGATAGAGGATATGAGGTTCAGAGAGGTTAAATGACCTCCTCCAAGGCCACATGGCCAGGTGGTGGCAGAGGCCTGGTGCTCCCTCACTCAACGGCCTCAAAAAGGACACTGTTGGGTTTTTGCCTCTGTAATTGTCCTATATATTAAATTTTGCTATCATCATGAACATGTTTTATTTTTGTACTCGGAAAGAAAACAGCATGTAATGTTTCTCTTAAAATGTTTGATGGAATGCAACCAATGTCATTGATCACTGTCTAGAAACAGTAGAAAGAGTAGGTTTTGCTGTATATATTTTCACCTAAAATAAAATAGTAATTTAAAAAATTTCATTCCTTTGCCACAGAAATATTGGCAGGTGCAAGATTCACTACATTCTAGCTTATTTATGCTGCATTCAGTTATTCTCTGCCCAGTAGACAGACACTAACTTTGGGTGTAATAGACAAGTTTTAGGGAGCTCTGGTGGCATAGTGCCTAAGGCATTAGACTGCTAACCAGAAGGCTGGTGATTCAAACCCACCAGCCACTCCTCAGAAGGAAGATTGGGAAATCTACTTCTGTACAAATACCGCTTCGGAAACCCAAGGAGGGGGGTCTCTTTGAGTCACATGGACTTGACAGCAGTGGGCTTGAGGCCTTTTTTTAATGGTGAGGTTGCAGATGTGTGTGTGGACACTAGAGGGCGATCTTTTACATACATTAAATACACAGGCCTTTGAATTTCCAGGGCTGGGAAGTTTCTTAAGGCACAGAGAAAAATGGTTCTTTTTTTTTTTTTTAATTTTTTAAAATGGCATTTCAGTAGACAAGTAGACATTTCATTTCAAAAGAATGTCTTAATAATGGTGGCTAATCAGCTTGCCAGAACATTTAATATCAAATAAGTTATATCCTCTCTCTTTCTCTAAATAAGCACACACATATGCACAAAGACAATTCCAGACGTACATGCCTCTGATGCAACTAAACTCCCTCATTCCATGCTGGAATCTACGAGGGGGCGGTCTTCTTTGCTGCTTACTAAGCATCAATACCAGCATAACCTTGTCATGGAAAAATGCAAAGCATTCATGCAAGTTAATAAAGTTACTACTATTGCTGTGACTTACCAGGAACATACTGCTTAGTCGACTGAAAAATAAAGCACAGTCTTTTGGGAATGATAAAGTTATATTGTAAGTCATTCCAAAAATCACATTTTCTATGATAATAGGTTCCATTTTCTTCCTCAAAAAGCAAAGCCTTTTATTTTATATTTTCAAACACATATAACTATAGAGCTGGAAGGACGCTTGCAAATTCATGTAGTAGAATGCAGAATTAGGCCAACCTCACATGAATGAGTATCACCAGAGTTGGAGAATTCAAATTGCACAGTCGCTCTTCTTACTCACATTTTTCTTCTTGTGTTAACACAGTTGTTGCTTCAAGGAAATTAGTCAAGTTTGTATTTCATTAATTATGAAATCAGATTATTTAAAACTGTGCCTTACTGGTAAAATAAATATTGTTTCTATCTTTTCAGCATTGCAGAATTATGTTTTTATAACCCCAAATCCACTTCCTGGAGTGGGAGGAGCATATACGGTCTGATGTTACAGAGCAGATATCACTGAAGACAACAGACTCTCATCTAGTTTCTAAAGAACTTTAAGAAAGCCCTCATAAATGCAAGTACATCACACGGTTGACATCTTTAAGTCATTGTTCATAGAAAGAAGATATCACAAGGTGCAAGACTTCTCAGAAATAATATTCCCAGAAACCAAAGAATGCAAGAAGGAAAGGTAAGGAGGAAGTAGTCAAGGTTTTCTTTGTCCGCTGCCATCCTTCCCTCCTCTCCAACCTATGAAAAGTGATAGCTTGTGTTTTCTTCCAAGTCTATAAAAAGTGTCACAGCACAGGTAGCCAGAACTAGGAAAGGAACTCTGTTAGGAAATGCTGGAATCTGAAGGAAGTAACTATGTTGATGCTGAGGGCAGAACTCTGGCCTTGGGCAGTGGTAGCAACAGATACAAAGATCTAGGTAAGTGTGGGTGGGGTTCCAAGGTGTTGGCTATTTCCCTGTTTGTCATATGCTATATCCAGCTGAGTGTGTACAGAGTATGTGCCCAGACACAGATCATCAAATACATAGCTAAAGCTCAAAAGAAGCAAGAACATTTCAAGAAAACTGAAAATGTTCTTTGATTACAATGTTTCATTGCATCAGGAGCTACTCAGGCCAACTGCTCCTCTCTTTTTTTCCTGTTCATTCATTCATCCATTCACTCATTATCATGGACTTACAAGCAGAGGGAATCAGCAAACTAGAGCCCTCTGCTCATAATCTGGATAGCCTCCTAGCACGCCCCCTCAGAGGCATAATTGCTTAGGCACTTCTCTAGGGTAACTGAATTCTGCCAAGCAATTAGGCAAACCTACATAGTCAGATCCGAAGTGTCTTTGCCCTTCTTCCTTTTCTTGGATTCCCTGTTATTCCACTCATTTAGTGAAGAGTTATTTTATTATATCTTCATTATTAAGGAGTTACCAGTTCTGTTCGTCTTACATAAAGAAACCGCCCCACTCTGCAGGGTGAACAAGGAGGGTGGTTTAAGAGCTTTGTAATATTCCTCTAAGACAAGGTGGCTCAGGGAGAGCAGGATTTACAGAAACAACAGAAGAATGAAGAGTTGTATCATTCACCATCCAATCATGAAGATCTGGAAAGTGAATGTTGTTGACAGTAAACTCTGTATTCAGAGAGTAAGGTCAATATTGAATGGTTGGGAACTCCTTCCTCCCATGCAAGTCCTACAGCTTCTCTTGGATAATTTTTCTCATGCTATCCAATCAATAATGAGAGAATGACTTGAGAGAAAAAGAGAGGGCATGCAATGCTGGTGGGTCCAGCGATGGACAGAAGGTTGCAGAGAACTGAATCAGGTTTAAGAAAGCAAAATTTCTCACCAGAAGTGACTCCTGGACTTCCCAATCCTCTACTCAAGACTAAGGAAGGGCTTTTCCCCCTTCCCTCCATACTGGACCCCTCCTATGGCTCTGACCTTCCAATCTCAAGCTGTCTTCTTACCTGAAGAGTTTTGACTTTGCCCAGGATGTTGTCCTGTGACATTGCTTGAACTGTCTGCTCACTTTCTGCTCCCCCATCAGGGATAAAAATACTGTCATGGGAAAACGCCCGGGTTCCCATATTATAGTTGAAGGACCTGGAATGCAAATCATGTGCTTCATTTTATTAGGATGATAAAATTTCTTTTGGCAATTCACCTTCCTGTTCTTCCTGCTTTGAAGCGCTACCCCCTACTCCCTGTCTCATTCAGAAAGCACTCCCAGCATTGTATCCTTTTCTGCTGGGGGTCAGCCAAGGAGTTGGATAGATGAAGGGTTCCAGAGAATAAGGGAGCATGTCTCTCACACAACCCTAGTTCAGAGCCACTCACTGACAGAATTAAAACTTATTTAATTGTAGAAGACCTAGAACTGAAGGCACTACAGAAAATTTTAATTGGAGGAACCTTTCCCCAGATGAACTAGAACTATCAGTTTTACCTCAGTAAGTCTTGTTGACCAGCATTTGTTAAGTAACATGCAGATCTAGAAATGTAGAAATAAGAGGCAAGAGTTTCTTTCAGATTACAATCAAACTGGAAGAGTGATATATATATATATATATATATATACACATCTAAAACAAAGATTAGAAGAGAACTAGAGTTGCTGGTACCGACTATAAATGCTTTAGAATTCAGACAAAGGGCAATTCTGATGAGTTTCCTGTATTGTCGTTGAGTCCATTCTGATTCACGGCAAACCTGCGTGTGTCACAGTAGAACTGTGCTCCACAGGGCGTTCCATGGCTGATTTTTGGAAGTAGACCACCAGGACTTTCTTCCAAGGTGCCTCTGGGTAGACTCAAATCACCAAGCCAGGGACCCAATAATAATAACACTTGTCAGTTGAGACTGAACTTTAAGGAAGTCTAGACTTTCATTGGATGGTGAGATCAAGCTCTTGGAAGGGATCTCTGAGAAAGGATGCACAGTGAGGCTGTGGGCTCCTCACAGGTGACAGGCAAGGCAAGGCAGACACATTTCCATGATGCCAGGTACATGGACAGCATTCCCAGTGGTAGGGAAGTACTATTTCTCCCTTTACCCTGTCTAGAAAAGGGCACCAACTAGAGGTTTTATCAGTGACTCAATACACGAGAGAACAGCTGGCACTGGGGGAAAGTTGTCTCTAGCTGGCGCCTCTGAAATGAATTACAGAAGCACAATGGGTAGGGTTCTGAGCAGCTGGACTTGTTCCCTGTCCAAGTCTAGACCTAGTCAGAAAGAATGAGTACCAAATTACATCATGTAACTTCCCAAATTACAGGCAGTATGGTAGAAAAGAATATGTGCTAGCTATAGGAACAAAAGACGGAAGTGCACTTCCTGGCTGTGTGATCTTAGGTAATAATAATAAACATTTACTATGATGAAAACACTGTGCTGACAAGTTTTTTTTTTTTTCTTTTTTAAACTTTTTATTGTGATTTGGGTGAAAGTTTACAGAACTAATTTGTTTTCCATTCAACAGTTCATACACATTTTATTTTGTGACATTGATTGCAGTCCCCACAAGGTAACATCTCTTCCCCTGTGGTTACCCGTTCCCTGTGTCCTTCTTCCCATGCATTCCTGTGTTCTGAGCTTTCTGCTTATGCAAATGCTGCTTTCTGGTCTCCTGTGGTTGACCGTTCTAAGGAATGCACCTCCTTGGTTTAACTGTTCTTAAGCCATGGGAGAGAGTTCAATTCCAGGCCTAAAGGGTGACTAGGGGCCATAGTCTTGGGGGTTTCACCAGACTCTATCAGACTAGCAAACCTGGTCTTTTTGATGACTTCGAGTTTTGTTCCACATTTTTCTCCAACTCTATCCAGGATCTCCTACACTGATCCCTTTCTGAGGGGTTGACAGTGGTAGTTGGGCACCATCTAGTTCTGGTCTCAGGGTCATGTAGGATAAAGTTCCCATGGTCTATTCTTCCCTTGGACTAATTGTTTTCATGTGTCTTTGATTTTCTTCACTCTTCTTTGCTCCCGATGAGGAGAGAGTTGCATCTTAGATGGTCACTTCTCAGAAGGAAGATGGGGCAATCTATTTCTGTAGAGATACTGCCTCAGAAACCCAGGGAGGAGTTTGCTATGAGTTGCAACCAACTGGATGGCAGTGAGTTTAGATGGACATTTGCAAGCTTTTAAGAACCCAGTTGCTACTTACCAAAGTAGGATGTAGAACAACGTTTTTGTGTACATGTTATGCCAATTGAGCCTGATGTCCCCCACAACAATGGTCATGTCCCCCACAGGTCCAGTGACTCACTCTCTCAAAACGTTTGTTTGTGGCTAACAAGTTATCATAACTTTGCCAATTGTTAGCTCTATTGTATAGATGGGTATTTTTATAGCACATACAAATTAGTATATAGAAATATCATTTGCCAAACTTACATATGGTCATGGGTATATTCCTGTTCATCTACCCTGATCATCTTGCCTGTCTATCTATGTATCCACCCTTGTTGTTGTTGTTGTCATTTGCCATCGAGTCAGACCTGACTCATAACGACCCCTCCTTGGGTTTCTGAGGCAGTATCACTACGGAAATAGATTGCCCAACCATCCTTCCGAGGAGTG